GTACCTGTCAATCAGCTGTACAAACTCTGTTGAATACTACTACAGCAGCTGTACCTGTCAATCAGCTGTACAAACTCTGTTGAATACTACTACAGCAGCTGTACCTGTCAATCAGCTGTACAAACTCTGCGTCAGGCGAAATAGCACGTCATCGTACATTTGAGATCAGCGGGAAGAAGATGACGACGTCCACTAATTTAGTATCTGTGCACACGAATCTGCTGTGTGTGTGACTCTGTGTGTCAGCTATGATATCATCTTCTGTGGTTCCATGCCTAGCATGTACGTCTGAACCATCCTGCAAAGTTTGAATGACGTAGGTTGAGCGATCGCTCCGCGAAATATACTTTTTGAAATTCTCTTCATAGTATATCTTCCACCATTGAAATTTCGAATTTCTTGCTGAGAGGGGTGGCTTGCAACCTCGATAAGGCTCCAGGCATGCTTTGGAGCCATCTCCTGTTGAAGTAGTGGCGGGGATCTGCCCTGCAACTGCTACAACAAAAAATGATTCGATCTGAGAAAGGGTGAGACCGCGAATCTCGGTTGAATATTGAGTATTTCAAGCCTTTTCACGACGAAGATGGAGTTCTTTTTGGAGATGGACGTCGCGGCAAAGGACATGGTGTCCGACGTCTGGCGTCTGGTGAAGCCAGGGATAATTTGTCCAGTCAGGTCGGCAGCCTAACCGTCGGTAAGCTTGTGTTTGGATCCCGTTCTGCTCGATGTGGTAGATCACAAACAATTTGATATCGCACAAATTGATCTCAGCATCGTGCGTACGGTATTTTATATTCAGAAAATCCCAAAGTGTCTCTGTGTGGCCGTCCTATGCCACGAGAAACTCCAATCAGGCTCCTATGTCCTCTGCCTTCATGATTGAATGTCCACTTCGTTTGAACAACGAACACAACAATCGAGGACGGCTTTGCAATGAAAAATACAGCTATACTGGAGCTGAAAAAAGAAGAAAAAAACGTGCTCATGATGAGACTCGAGTACACGCATACTCTCCCAGCAGGTGAAACGCAAATTTTTGTGAAAAATGCGTGACGCCGACTGACCAGTAATTTCGCCTGACGGTTGAATACTACTACAGCAGCTGTACCTGTCAATCAGCTGTACAAACTCTGTTGAATACTACTACAGCAGCTGTACCGGTCCATCAGCTGTACAAACTCTATTGAATACAACCACAGCAGCTGTACCGGTCAATCAGCTGTACAAACTCTGTTGAATACTACCACAGCAGCTGTACCTGTCAATCAGCTGTACAAACTCTATTGAATACAACCACAGCAGCTGTACCGGTCAATCAGCTGTACAAACTCTGTTGAATACTACCACAGCAGCTGTACCTGTCAATCAGCTGTACAAACTCTATTGAATACAACCACAGCAGCTGTACCGGTCAATCAGCTGTACAAACTCTATTGAATACTACTACAGCAGCAGCTGTACCAATCAGTTATCTGTGCAAACTCCCCACTAACAAGCACTACTCTCTATTCCATGCTCTGTTCTTTTACCCAGGTATCACTTCCACCCAACTCCGCTCAACTTCAAGTACAATGATAAACCATTGTCTCTCAGCAGAACTTTCCTGGTAAGGGGCCTTCCGTAAATACCGATATTTATTTAGAAACGAAAACTAGTCGTTTCTCTTCAACCCCCTCCTCCCCTCCCTGAGAAACGAACACATGCAAATGGTACATAGTATCGATATTTTTGGTCTTTTTTCTGGACATGCTCACGCATGCAAAACGTACATCGATATTTTTCGAGAAACGAACATGCGCTCAACTCCCTCCCCCTAAACGACTAGTTTTCGTTTCTAAATAATCTATATTTACGGATGGCCCCTAAGCATGATATCATCTTGGCTCACAAACAAACTAGTGATGATGTCATGCAACTTGATATGACATCACGGTGTTCTAATTCTTATTTAGCTGTGTCAGTACTTACCAACTAGATAAGCAACCTGCTGGCTTGGTTTCTGATTGCCAGGCAACCAATTGCAGGGCTGTAGGAACGATTCCATCAACGGAGAGGAAAGAGAAGGGAAAAAGGAGAAGGACAAAATGTGACGAGTTATGACTAACTGTCCACCAATGTACCCAGATCATATACAGTCATATGCGACAAAATGGCGCAAAGCTGACAAGGAGTCATAACTCGTAACATTTTGACCTTCTCCTTTTTTTACCATACTGTAAAAGCCTTATATATAACGAAGTGCTAATTCTAACAAATTATCGAGGAGAAACCTGTCGTTAAAATAGAAACCGTTAGACAGAAATCGATACTTATTGTTGCTATTGAGCGTTGGGAATGAGTGAGAATCGTTACCTTTGGTACACGTAAAGTGGTCAATTTTAGGAAATCGTTATAATTATATGCGCCTCGTTAGAATAATGGCTTTTACGGTAATTAAATTGGCTCACCGTCCGAGTTCAAAAGAGAAGGAAAATTGGCAATCTGTGCTAAGAAAGTTGTGATCAGAAGTGTAAAGAGGATCCCCGGTCTGGGGGGATTACGTCTGTCTGGCGGCATTCTTAGATCAGGTCTATTGCCCACTATAGTGTTCACTGCAACCAAATTGCCACCCTTGCCACCCTTGCCACCCTTCTATCTTCCCGCTGCAGCTCAATGAGTCTGGTGACCTGGTTGCCGCTTCATTGCCCGTTGCAACACCGCCATCATTGCCCGCTGCAACGCCAGTCCGAAGGTAACTGAACTTTATTCTTGCCTTTGTGCAGCTGTGGGCGTGTATCCGTCTGTCCGTCTGTTCGTCTGTCTCCCTGCTCGTCCATCTGTCTCCCTGCTTGTCCATCTGTCCCTCTCTCCATCTGTCTGTCAGTACATCTGACCGTCTGTCCATCTGTCCATCTGTCTGTCTGTCTGTCTGTCGACCTATCTGTTTGTCCATCTGTCTGTCTGTCCATCTGTCTGTCTGTCCATCTGTCTGTCTGTCCATCTGTCTGTTTATCCATCTGTCTGTTTATTCGTATGTCCACCTACCTATCCGTCTGTCTGCATTACCACTTGCTGGTGAGCATAGTGTGGCTTAAGGTGTACTCTCGTAGTGTTGTATTGTTGTGCAAAGTATCTGTCACCTGTGTCTGTGTCGGTATTGGGATGAATACAGTCTTTTGAAGCACTTTATGCAACACCTGTCGACCAATGATCTACTTCTCGACCGAATCTGGTTACCGATAAAAAGTCATTTTTGTCCCGTTGCCAAGGGAACTCACGGCAGCCATTAGCAGTGCACACAGAAAAACCCAATAGTGTGTATCAGATGTACTGTCTGATCTAGCAACTCACACTACTTGCAATAGTTAACCCCACTAAGGACCCCACCAAGGACGCAGTATCCATATCTGGCGGCTCATTTATTACTTGAGTCATCTAAAGTATCCCTTATGTCCGTGTGTGCGTGTGTACGTGTGTGCGTGTGTCCGTGTGTGCGTGTGTACGTGTGTAAGTGGTAAAGGGGGGGGGAGGGGGGAGTGGGAGGGGATGGGGGGAGGGGGTGTTAGGAGGGAGAATGCTACGACACAAACACCATGGCAAAGTTGTTGTTTGTAACCGGCTTTTAATGCCATATGCCTGATCCTGCTCTGGTCTGTTTTAGACACACACACCCACCCACCCACCCACACACACACACACACACACACACACACACACACACACACACACACACACACACTTACACACACACACACACACACACACACACGTTCCACCCTTAGTAGATGTTCCAAATGACGTTTTGGCTCTTCAGTGAGCTGCTCATCATAGACACTCGGAGTCTTTACACTCTTCAGTGAGCTGCTCATCATAGACACTCGGAGTCTTTACACTCTTCAGTGAGCTGCTCATCATAGACACTCGGAGTCTTCACACTGAGATACTGTTTCTCTTTATAATGATCAGAGTATCTTGTGACTGTCCTCAAAGTAAAGTAAGAAGAGGAAGCGCCCACACCGCGACGGCTGGGGTAGATATATCCACCAGCCGTACGTGACGGCTGGGGTAGATATGTCCACCACGTGGAAAGAGAAAGGAATTATCACGTACATCGTGGAGACGAATAGAGACACACACTGCATAAGTCCCCTGCAAACGAAAGCAATACGACTGCAAACGAAATCAATACGACTGCAAACGAAAGCAATACGACTGCAAACGAAAGCAATACGACTGCAAACGAAAGCAATACGACTGCAAACGAAAGCAATACGACTGCAAACGAAAGCAACACGACTGCAAACGAAAGCAACACGACTGCAAACGAAAGCAATTACGACTGCAAACGAAAGCAATACGACTGCAAACGAAAGCAATACGACTGCAAACGAAATCAATACGACTGCAAACGAAAGCAATACGACTGCAAACGAAAGCAATACGACTGCAAACGAAAGCAATACGACTGCAAACGAAAGCAATACGACTGCAAACGAAATCAATACGACTGCAAACGAAATCAATACGACTGCAAACGAAAGCAATACGACTGCAAACGAAAGCAATGCGACTGCAAACGAAATCAATACGACTGCAAACGAAAGCAATACGACTGCAAACGAAAGCAATACGACTGCAAACGAAAGCAATACGACTGCGAACGAAAGCAATACGACTGCAAACGAAATCGATATGACTGCAAACGAAAGCAATACGACTGCAAACGAAAGCAATACGATGCTGGCTGGGAATGAAGAAGACTGTATAACCGTAAACAGGACAAGTCATGGCAGTAACTATAGCAACTAGAGACAAGTCATGGCAGTAAGTATAGAACTAGAGACAAGTCATGGCAGTAACTATAGAACTAGAAAACGAATGACCTTGGACCTTTGACGCCCCATCTCCAGTGGAGATGATAGGCTACTGAGTTGGGCAGTACTTGATGTGACACTTCAAATCACCACTTCTCCTAAGCGCTCTGCCGCATGCGCAGTGAAAGTCCTTCGGTGCCGGGGGAGGAAGACGATGCTGATGGACCCGCCTGCGCCATTCCGGGCGATCTTGTGCGAGCCGCCTGCGCCATTCCGGTCGATCTTGTGCGAGCCGATACCACTCGGACTCCGGAATATCCAGTGAGCGCAGATCACCGACAATCGTGTCTCGCCAACGCTTCTTTGGCCCATGCCATGGTCTGGTTGCCTCGAGCTCCCCAAACAACACTTGTTAAGGAATCCGGGCCGCGTCCATACGGGCAACATGACCCAGCCAACGCAGACGGTACTCACGAAAACGAATGAGATGGGACTGGGTCGACGTAGAACGTACATATAGCAAGAAATTGTAATGTTGTCCGACAGCATCACACAGTAGCAATCACACAGTAGCAATCACACAGTAGCAATCACACAGGAGCAATACATACTACACACAGTAGCAATACATACTACACACAGTAGCAATACATACTACACACAGTAGCAATGCATGCAACTGTCAATGTATAGAGTGAAGGCGCATGCAATATCTAACAGTCTGTATCTATTTCTTGTTGTTGCTGCTGCTGCTGTTGTTGTTGCTGCTGCTGCTGCTGCTGCTGCTGCTGTTGCTGCTGCTGCTGCTGCTGCTGCTGTTGTTGCTGCTGCTGCTGCTGTTGTTGTTGTTGTTGTTGTTGTTGTTGTTGTTGTTGTTGTTGTTGTTGTTGTTGTTGTTGCTGTCAGAACCAGGACATTATCTAAGAGACGAACAGCCAAGGACTCGGCAAACCGGCTATCAGGAGATGAGGACAGAGGTTCGCACGGTATCATCACCAGTACACAAGAACGTGTCCACATCGTCCCTAGCAGTGATTGTTCTCACTATGCTGATTGCCTGACAGGTGATGATTCCTGGGACCAGCAGCAACAGCAGCAGCAGCAGCAACAGCATCAGCAGCAGCAGCAACAGCATCAGCAGCAGCAGCAACAGCAACAGCAGCAGGACCAGCAGCAGCAGTCAAAGAAGGAAGAGAGTAAAACAAATACCGTGCGTATTGATCCTAAGGAAGCAGATGGGGGCAAACGCAAGCGCTTACATGGTGTGACGGAGGCATTGGCACAATCCAATGGACTTGAATTGGACGGTGAGATCTTTCATTTTTCCCTTTTCTCCACAAAGAATATTGTCTAACTGATTCATTGTCATAGAGCTTTTCTGTGTGCGCATGCGTGTGTGGCTGCGTGTGTGGGGGGGGGGGGGGGGGAGGGGGTAGTCGTTTGTGTGTGTGGCTTTTGAATCTCTCTCCTGTTTAACCCTTTGGGTGCGCATGATGTGTATGCACGCGCCTGATTCCCATGCCGGTTCTCTGATGACGTGTTTACACACGCTTCGGCTTGCGTTGTGTATAGTGGTGAATAGACCAGTGTACATGTACAAACTTCCGTTACTCTGTGAAAGAGCGTCCGATCCCCGCAAAGACACACGGTTGGAAAGGTATTGAACAATCGGTTAAGAAAGGTTTAGCAGTGAGATACTCTGTGAGGAGTGTATGGGGATAGTTCATTAGCACTGCCACACAGTAACTGATTGCATACTAGACATGTTTATGAAGGCGGCAATCGCTAAAAACTGGTACGATCCTACCCTCCTCCGTGCCAGTGGCTCTGGACCTGCATACTAATCTTGTTGACCGATTAGCTGATTCTGGCTGAACCTAATCTTTTGTAATCAAGAATGCTAGTGAAACCTGTATGTATCCGATCCACTCTGTTTTACCTATCCACATTAGTATCGAGTATTACCTTCACGGGGGGGGGGGGGGGGGTGCATACGTGTTTATACGTGTGTGTGTGTGTGCGTGTGCATGTGCGTGTGTGCGTGCGTGTGTGCGTGTGTGTGTGTTTATCTGTTTGCGTAGGCGGTTCTGTTGGTCAACTGTTGATAATGAAATGATGTTGTACCCATATATGGCTGACTTCATTCCACTATCCATGTTTGACAATATCCTATGAAATAGATACCTGTCACCAGCATTGTCATAGCAGCTATCCATTTTCTCTTGTATTTTCTTGTCTTTCTCATCCAATCTGTGTGCAATGTAGATGATGTCTGCACAAGTTGGATGAGACCGTTTGGCTTAGGTCCATACTCACAGCGCCGTAAACGCATCCTCAAAGCCCAAAGTCTAGCTCAGGACTTCATTCTCCTGTAGTATGTGGTCGCTGCCTACACATGATGTGAAAGCTATGTTTTATCTACTGTTGCCAGTGTTGCCATGGAGATACTATGGTAGTCATGACACAAATCTATAGTTTGTGTGTAGGTATATTGTAAAATTTAGAAATGTTTTCCTGTGTCCCGAGTGCCTTGTACGCAGTGGCGGTGCGTTCTTGCAGAGAGACAAACAGTAAGGTAGAACAGAGACTTGTATGACGTTATTCATAGTTGCACAGAAATTGCGTTTCTCAGAGAACACATTGACGTTTATTTTCACCGTTGGTGACTATGTTAGTAAAGAATCTATTTCACATTGTGTGTATCGTATTGTTGTTTTTGTCCCAGTGCTTGTTCATGTCGGAGCATGGCTACCAGTGGTGTGTGCATCTTCCTGCCATAGCAGCAGTGTTTGTTTTAGGACAGCAGGCTGCGTTCGAGCCTGATTTAAACCTGGCTTTGGAAAAGTTTTTTTCATTCCTATCAGGTCCGGCCTCATTTTCTCGGTGCTGCGCTGATGAGCCCCCAAAGGACGAAACAGTTCTGTTTGCAGCTTGAGTAGAGTTGGGTGCATTACGTTGCCAAACCCCAATACTATCCACACTAGCACTGTGCATTGTGTTTGCTCTCTACTCTGTAGCATAGATGAGCATTGTACATACGCTGTAGCATAGATGAGCATTGTACATAGTCTGTAGCATAGATGTGCATTGTATGAATAGTCTGTAGCATAGATGAGCATTGCATGAATAGTCTGTAGCATAGATGTGCATTGTGTGATTATAGTCTCAGCCAAGTCATGCTAATGATATCGGTGTCTGTTGGTTCTGCCGCCTTGTGTAGTCTCAGTGACAAAATAATGGATGTGCATTGGATGTGGATGTGCATTGGACATAGTCTGTAACATAGGAGTGCGTTGTTTGTAGCATAGATGTGCATTTTACATGGTCTGTACTGTGTAGCATAGATGTGGGTTGTGTGTAGCATAAATGTATATTTTTCATGGTCTGTGGCATACCCTTATGAATAGCTGTGCTTTTTGGTCATGATCTCAGTGACATGCATGTTGCTGTGCATTGTACGTGATCTCAGTGACAGGGTCATAGCACCCGGTGTGACCGGCAGTCCGGCCCAGTCCAGCGGTAACCTTATGTCCAGCCATGTCCAGCTATGTCCAGACTTTGTTACGACAACTAGTCCACCCATGTTCACTGGTAAGTCATACAGATCTACAAGTTGCACAGTACTAATACTAGTAATAGGATCAGATTGAAAACCATGCAGCTACTGTCCCTGGTTGAAAACCATGCAGCTACTGTCCCTGGTTGAAAACCATGCAGCTACTGTCCCTGGTTGAAAACCATGCAGCTACTGTCCCTGGTTGAAAACCATGCAGCTACTGTCCCTGGTTGAAAACCATGCAGCTACTGTCCCTGGTTGAAAACCATGCAGCTACTGTCCCTGGTTGAAAACCATGCAGCTACTGTCCCTGGTTGAAAACCATGCAGCTACTGTCCCTGGTTGAAAACCATGCAGCTACTGTCCCTGGTTGAAATGCATGTACTGTCCTTGGTTGAAATGCATGTACTGTCCCTTGTTGAAATGCATGTACTGTTCATGGTTGAAATGCATGTACTGTCCCTGGTTGAAATGCATGTACTGTTCATGGTTGAAAATCATGTACTGTGCATGGTTGAAAATCATGTACTGTTCATGGTTGAAAATCATGTACTGTTCATGGTTGAAATGCATGTACTGTTCATGGTTGAAATGCATGTACTGTTCATGGTTGAAAATCATGTACTGTTCATGGTTGAAATGCATGTACTGTTCATGGTTGAAATGCATGTACTGTTCATGGTTGAAAATCATGTACTGTTCATGGTTGAAAATCATGTACTGTTCATGGTTGAAAATCATGTACTGTTCATGGTTGAAAATCATGTACTGTTCATGGTTGAAAATCATGTACTGTTCATGGTTGAAAATCATGTACTGTTCATGGTTGAAAATCATGTACTGTTCATGGTTGAAAATCATGTACTGTTCATGGTTGAAATGCATCATAATAGTAGTCCAGGGAGTCAGCTTTGTAACATATTAATTTTTATTATGTTACTAAGCTGACTCCCTGGACCAGTACCGATCGCATCACTGTACAAGTATTTGCAGTAATTTTGCACATACCCTTGCCTCTTCTTTTTTGAGCAATCTTTCTGGTTTGAGTCGAAGTCATCATCTGCCTTTGTTCAAAGCGAGCTGTCTTTCCCTGGAGAGATCTAGCGAGGCAGTCTTTCCCTAGAGAGATCTAGCGAGGCTGTCTTTCCCTGGAGAGATCTAGCGAGGTCGAGATACCTAACTGTTCACAGATTGAGTACATGCAGTACAGTACGCAAGAGATCCACAAAGGAAGTAAAATGCAGTACAGTAAGCAAGAGATACACAAAGGAAGTAAAATGCAGTACAGTAAGCAAGAGATACACAAAGGAAGTAAAATGCAGTACAGTACGCAAGAGATACACAAAGGAAGTAAAATGCAGTACAGTACGCAGGAGATACACAAAAGGAAGTAAAATGCAGTACACACAGTACAGTCTTATTTTTGAAGTATGTAGATCTACAGCGCTAGCAACTGAAATCCGACACACTGGCCTGAGCGGTGGGTTCGCTTTCTAGCGGTCTCTGTTTCGTAGTTTTACCATCGTGTTAGGTCTTAGCGATGTGAGCGCACCGCTCAGGGGGTCGGATTTCAGTTGCCAGCACTGTACTAGTTACATGTATTCGCACTACTACTTCCAGGTTCCAGGGTGTGCGTTTGACGCCGGGCCGTGCTAGTCCAGGGACCAGGGCTGCAAATACATGTGCGCCATGCACTCGTATACACTTGGCCACTAGCCCCCCTTTTTTTGAAAGCCCAAAGAAGAAAATAATTTTTACTGAACACCCACACCGCGCCGGGCCCATAGCAAGGCCTTGACAGATTATGCTAATATTTTCGTGAAATTATGCTTTTCGCATTGCTGAAAAAATTGCAGAATTATGCTATTTTTATGCTAAAAGTTATCATATTATGCCGCATTATGCTCACATATGCTGCTAATGTATAATGGTTCCGTGCAAAATAACATGGGAATTTTTTTGTAGAGGGCGTTGTACTGTAGTAGCAAAAGTTCAACGGGGTCAACGCACCGTCCGACCTACATTAGTAGCTACGACCGTCACTGATTGTAGTGGACTGGACATGTTATCAACGGAGTCGTAAACCTATGACTTTCTGGTGCATATACTTGTACTTGTTCTTGTAGAATATGTACAACTGTATGGAATTTGATGCGAACATGCGAATTATTCCAATTATATGCGATTCGTATGCAATTTGCCTCGAGTTATGCGATTATTCGATTTTGGTAGGAATTATGCGAAAAATTATGCTAGCATAATCCGTCAAGGCCTACCCATAGCTGCCTCGGAAACCACCAACGAGTTTATGGAGTCTCATGTAAAATTGTTGATAGGTCACCGGGTCTGTACGTAGACTACTCTACTACTAGTAGGTCTACCTGCGTAGTTAGTTCTACGCTGGAGCAGCTAGTCTGACTCTCAGACCATGACCTTCATGACTGTGTTGTGAGTACAGATCGCCTGGCCGCGGGAGCAGACTGCACCAGACTGTCCACAGTGCACCAGTACATAGTGGTCATGTACGTGTGAGTGTAGTGTAGATCGCACGTGTTGTACATGTGACAGTGGACGACTGCATGCACCAGACTGTCCACAGTCAGCATGGTCAGTGCACTAGTGGTCATGTAGATCTACGTGTGGGTGTACGACTAGTTAGTGTAGATCGCACGTGTTGTGACTGTGGACGACTGCATCAGAGTAGACTACTAATACAGTAATCGTACTATGCTGAGCATCTTGTTCAAGTAATAATAGTTGTTGCCGTCTCTACAACAGTACAAGTCTAGGTGACTGTGATTTCTTGCTCGGTCACTAGTCACTGGCAGGTAGGGATGTAACGCTGCATTGGTGGTAAATAATAATAATAATAATAATTAGCAGCAGATGGTTTGGGCTGTCGATGCACTGGCCAGCCGCCTAGGTGAAAGAGGTTATGTTCGCACCGCAAACTTCAGACTCTGTGTGTACGAGATGCAGCATTTTATCTTCAGAGTAGATCTGCGTGCAGTTGTTCATGTTAGCACCTCACTGTTCTCACTACCGAATGAACAGGGCATGAACATGGACCTCACGAGACAATCGTAATGCAGTTACTTACCGCCGTCAGCGTGGGGTTGTGAGTCTTGTGACTCCTGTGAAGTCTTGCGCCCAGCGACTATTTTCAGTGCTAAAATTTGAAGAACAAAACTCGACTGCGCTAATAGTTTGAGATCATTTCTTCTTCATTACTCTTTCCAAGCCGTGAGTTACGTTTTGAGATGTGTTCATCCTGGAACTACTTCAGTACTTGGGTAGTTGTACAGTACAACTGGTTTTCGTTCCTCAAGCTACATCATCATCCGCATCATCATGCGCATCATGCTACATTCGTAGGCCCGTTCTTTACGTTTCTACTTGTAGATCAGGACTGTCCTGTGCTCTGTGCTCTGCTGCATGTACTAGTACTAGTGTTGTGAATCGATTGGAGGAAGCTGCTAAGACCGGGTTTCGGATATTCTCATGGCGACATTACAGCTACCTGTGGAATGGCAGACGGGGAGAGACTTCAGGTAACGTAACATTTACCCTGTATTCAATAAATTCTACATACGGGGAAATCCGTAATGTACATCGAGCATGATGATTTGTTTAGCGCATTCGTAAGCAGGCTTTCTAAGCCGTTTGTTGTGCTTCTGTTTTCGTACTCTGTTATCTAATCAAACTGAAAGTGCCGCGTGTGCCAGGGACCATAAAAAATGTACACAACTTGACACCCCCTCCCCCTCCTTGACACTTGTGACAGCCTTGGTCTACGTGAACGCGACTGCCAGTACAGTGTTCACATGACCAGTACAGTGTTCACATGACCAGTACAGTGTACAGTGTACAGTGTACAGTGTTCATATGACCAGTACAGTGTTCATATGACCAGTACAGTGTTCATATGACCAGTACAGTGTTCATATGACCAGTACAGTGTTCATATGACCAGTACAGTGTTCATATGACCAGTACAGTGTTCATATGACCAGTACAGTGTTCATATGACCAGTACAGTGTTCACATGACCAGTACAGTGTTCACATGACCAGTACAGTGTTCATATGACCAGTACAGTGTACAGTGTACAGTGTACAGTGTTCATGTGACCAGCGTGTAGATTAGATTGT